AGAGAGATTACCCTCAGGGAGGATTTGCTGGACATGTAACTCTGGCAGTGCTGGGTTTGCGGTGGGCTGAGTGGTGGTATGAACCAACTACAGGAGTGGGCTTCTGCCTGGGGTACCCAGTCAGGACTTTCTGGTTTGATTGATGTATAGCCTTGGACACTGGGCCCTTTTTTTCTGAAGAAGAAGGGAAAATTGCATCTGTACCCCACTTAAAGATGGGAATACCCGCTATACCCAGTCCCAGTGCCAACTTGCACCTATACCCAGAAAACGGCCGATGGAAATTATTTGCATGCCCAGAACTGAGGTAGACCCAAGTTGGTACCGCGAAATTGCAGTTATAACCAACTACCGGAATGCACAAATTATGGACATACATGGGCAAAGCTATGGGCATAACCTACTACCAGATGGCTGAAATAATGCTCATACCGAGCACACCCGTTGGGCCAGAATGGTCCACATGGTGGGCATGAGCATAATTTTGTGGCCCGCCATCCAAGCCCTGTGGCCCTGGCTGTGGGTATACCTCCAATTTTGTCAGCCCCTTTGAGGGCATGGGCATAATTTCATTGTCCAAAACGGAGGGCCTGCAGGACTGGGTATGCCTACAATTTCTCATAGGCCCATAGGGGGAAAAGTTGCGTACTTTGCAAAGTTTGAACGGAGTCCGGGTGTAGATGCAAGTTGGGCACTGGACCGCTATAGCGGGTATTGGGGTATGGATGCAATTTTCCCTCAAAGAAAGAATATTGGCATGGCCCCTGTGCAGGTCCCGGAAAAAAAAAAAAAAAAAAAAAAGGATTAGGATGGCCCCTGTGCAGGTTCCCAAAAAAAAAAAAAAAAAAAAAAGATATCACCAGGCCCTGGGTAATTCAGAATTGTCCTATTTTACTCATGCGGTTCCAATGGATTTCGAACTCAGGTCTGCATTTGAACAGCTCAGGGGTGTACCAACTGAGGGCTTACTCACACTAACCGTATCTCAAGTGTATCTGACCGCATTCACGGCCAAACCTGGATGTATCTGGCCCCAATTCGGTCCAAAAATAGGTGAAAAAGTCATAGTGTGAGTATGCCCTGAGCTAGGCAGGCCAGTTGGTACACCGCGCCCTTTGGTGTCTATGAAGCCAACTTAAACCACCAGTACTTGGCCCAGCTATCGGCCGCGGAAAAAAATGGAGTAGAAACTTTTCTAGTTGGATGAATTTGGGCGCTCCTGTAGTGGCCCATACATTTCCTAAAATTTCCTCACATAGCGTTAACGGGCACGACTTTAGGAAGTACTGGTGGTTTAAAAATAGAAAAGAACACATCTGAGGGCATACTGGCATACTGCCACTGCAACTCCAAATCCGCAAAATATGCAGATTTGCGGAAGGCCTATTTATGGTTTTGGGCACGCTGGTGGTCACACTGCCTTACATTTACTAATAGGACAAGGTCACGGCCTTCTGGAGAAGTATAGGGAATTGGCTCTGGAGAACTAATAGGGAATTGGCTCTGGAGAACTAATAGGGAATTGGCTCTGGAGAACTATAGGGGTTTGGCTCTTAGCTGGTCACAGAGAGCCCCAGCCGTAAATGTGGTTTGTACAATTGACAATATCACAAGGACTTTGATAACCGAATTTTAACCAATTTTTTTATGAAATTCAAAAACTTAAATAGGGAATTTGGCGTCACCTCCACAGATGACCGCAAAATCGCACTCACCGACGGCTTCCCAAGCCAAGCCGCTGACAAATGGGCATACGAATAGTACAATTGGGAGTTTGGGATTTTAGGTCCTACCGTCTTCTCGCAAACATAACCCATATGCGTTGTATTTTTTCGAGTTTTCCGAAAAAACCGGTTTTGGAAAATGTTCGACCATTTTCTTCGAATACAAGGGCACTTCGAATATAACATATATGCGTTCTATTCGAATACTACACACATGCCTTATACTAAATTTAACGATGAGAAAATTGTTGCATTCGAATACTTCTTCCCCCCACCCAAGGTCAGCGCCTGCTCCGTTCTTGCCCTGGTGACCGGGACAGGCCCGTGCTCTCTCTCTCTCTCTCTCTCTGTGTGTGTGTGTGTGTGTGTGTGTGTGTGTGTGTGTGTGTGTGTGTGTGTGCTCTGCTGTCGGCAAGCAACTACCCTCCTTGTCACTAACAAGCTGCCCTCCCTCTCTCCCTCTGTGTCCGTGCGCGAAGGCGCTTCTGACAGCCAAGAAAGTGGCGCGGCCAAGAAAGTCGAAGCCAGTTCAATTCCCTCACCAAGGCCTCGCTGCTAGGGTCACAGAGACGGAAAAGACAGAAAAAGGGTTGTATCTTTCCATGTTCTAGGAGAACATTCATTCTCATTTTTCACATTTGCTGGGGAGTGGAGCGAGGGCCCAAGCACGGGAAAGAATTGAATCTCCGGGCAGAACATGAAAAGGTATGTGCTTCGCTACTTTTCTTTTACTCTGAGGCTCTCAGCCGTGGTCCAGACTACTCAGCCTGAACCTGGCCCCCTTGCGAAGGTAAAAAAGTTGGTCCTGTTCACTCTAACATAACGCACATGCTTTGTAAACGAATACAACGCACGTTCGTTATGTTCCGGGGAAGACGGCAGTGTGAGTATGTCCCTGAGTATTGGAAGACGGCCAAGCCCATGTGGCAGAATGGCACACACACACACACACACAACACATATTGGTGTTGACAAACGGGCCAGGAAGTCCACATGCCAACCGTATCAGATCGACACAATGGTGTTATACAGCCTACGCCCTCCCTCTCACCCAAAAGAAATCAACGCCACAATAAAATAAAGAAATATTAATGATTCTAATTCTAATGAAGGAAATAAAATGGGGGGTGTGTTATTCACCAGCGTTGACACTGAAACAAAACAAAACCGATCGCAGGTTTTTTGGTTCATTGGCAACTACCGTAGTTTGTGGTCCCCACCATCGACGGGGCCGATCTCCGGTTTCAGTCTCCAGACCTCCACGGGCAGCAAAGGGCGCGCGGTGTCCTCAGCTCGGCCAGTTACTCTGCCGCTCAGACGAACATGAGGCGGTGTCCTGAGCGACGTGGTCGTCGGGTCGCCCACCGCTGATCTGTTGCGGCGCGCTTCGACCGCAAGGGGGATGCTGTCCACACGGTGCCAAAGAAAGGCGGGAAAGAAACGGCGGGAAAGGCCGGAAAAAAACGGCGGGAAAGGCGGGAAGCAGCGGAAAGAGATGGCTCGTCTCGTTACGGACCCAAGGACCTTGGTGATAACGGCGGCAGCTTCGGGAACGAATTTACAAAAAGGAGCAGCGATGGAGTCTGCCAACATAACACCGGAGGCTGCCATGTGGCAGGCTCAGGTGCTGCATGACGGCGCGCGCCCGGTATTGACAACCTATGCCGATGGCCACGTGGCCCCTGCCTGGGCGGGCACCTCTGCCATTGTGGCGGTCTTCGCTTTACAGATAGCAGCACCAGGGATCCAACGATTCCTGGCGCGCAGCCTGAGACCTCGGAAATGCCGATGCTGTTACGGTGTGGGACATGACCTGTGCGACACGTGTAAGGGCCGAGGCAAAGAGGGTGGGTTGTTCACACAAAGAGAGCTCGTGGCCTGTGCCACCTGTCGCGGCAGCGGTCACAGGCTGTGCGACGCTTGCCTTGGCACAGGTCTCGCTAATCACTGGCTGTACCGACCCACCAAAAACCCAGGATGGGGTCCCAGAGGAGAATCCTAAAGAGAAGAGAGGAGGGAGGGGCGGGGGAGGGGGCAGAGGAGGGAGAAGGAGACAAGGAGCAGAAGAGAACGAGGGATAACGCTGCTGCGATTGCTTCTTGGCCCCATCGTTCTGGCTTTCATTCGCTGATTAAAAAGAACTTTCACCATATCATCATCTTTCCTTCTCCCCTTTTTTTTTTTTTTTTTTTTTTTAAACAGGGCTTCTCCGTAATTTAACTTGAATTGCTTTGCTTCTTTCTTCTACTGAAGTCCTTTCGCGTTTCCGCTTTCTTTTTTTCCTTTTTTTCCCCTCCCTTCTCTTTGCCGTTGCTCACACAATTGACCGAGGAATAGTTTTTTTTTTTTTTAGTTTCGACTATATCTCAATTTGTGCGTGTCATCCTTGCACAGGGGCCATCGTCATTCTCTTTCTCCTTCTCGTTCCAATGTTAAGGCGATGTCCATGAGTCCTGTCTCAGATAAAAAATCTTATTTTTTATCGTGGTTGCACACTTGCCGCTCAACCGCACAAACTTAGGCGTACTCACACTACTTAGTAGCATTATCTTGAATGCATCTGACCGTATTTTCGGCCCCAATTCCGTCCAGAAATAAGTAAAAAAGCGTGTGCGAGTGTGAACATGCCCTTAGCCAAATGCACGTGCAATGAATGGTGCAGATTATGCTACAGAGTATTCGACGGAACGTTCCACAGAACACGAACTTCTGCAGAACTTTCCTGCAGAACGTTCTGCGGAAAGTTCTGCATGGAATGGGCCTCGCTCCACTAGTAGTCTCCAAATGTGCAAAACGAGAGTGAATCTTCCGCTAGAGCATGGAAAGATACATTCCCATTCTTTTTGTCTTTTGTGCATGTGGAAAACAAGTAGCGAGACCCGATGTCGTACACGATATTCTATAGAACGTTCCATAACACACCAATTTTCAACTAAACACACGTGGTTACCCTTTGCACCACTCAAACACGTACACGTGGCTGGCCTCGGACCACGCAACGTTCGTCTCACCAAACACTATCGCAATCATCTTAGCATCCCAACGTAATTACGTTCTACAAATTTTGTAGTCACTATTATGAATACATTCAGGTGGGCAAACGAGCGCTTCTTGTGGTAATTGTCTAGAATACACACACACACACACACACACACACACACACACACACACACGTAATCCTCTACTACCCACTCTCTCTCTCTCTCTCTCTCTCTCTCTCTCTCTCTCTCTCTCTCTCTCTCTCTCTCTCTCTCTCTCTCTCTCTCTCTCTCTCCAGCATATGGAAGCCATGTTTCCTGTACGATCTGCCTGTGCCACACCATTCGAAAGAGTGTGACTGGAGACTCAGAAGTATTGTTCATGCACCTAATTGTCCTTTTCTTTTCTTTTCCATCTCTCTCTCTCTCTCTCTCTCTCTCTCTCTCTCTCTCTCTCTCTCTCTCTCTCTCTCTCTCTCGTAAATGAAGTGTTCTACTTGCAAAAAACGCCAGCAAGGGAGCAAAAATTTACCACGTATATAATTGGGAAATGGGAAAACCTTTCTGCTACTATATATAGCACATGCACCGACAGATTTCCTCCCTCCTCCTGCCTCTCTTGCTCTGCCATTTGTTGGTCTACTTCAGCAGATACCTACCGGACCTACAGTTAGACAAATCGTTATCACTTACACTAGCCTGCCATACCCCTGCAAACAGGCGATGAAAGAAACTATGTAGAAGTAACAGTCGGAAAAAGCCCTCTACTTTTCACTACACACTAGCCTCCCCTACCCCTGGCAATTAAGGCACCCAAAACAATTGTGCACGAGCCACCATGGCAAAAGAACCCCCCTCTAATTTTCAGCATACACTCCCCTCCGCCACACCTGCAATTAGGCGTCGACAATCAGTTCTGAAGGAGCCACAATTTGAAAAAGACCCCTCCAAATTTCAACATTACTACCACAAATCCCAACGACTTGCACGACTTACCCCTCAATTTGAAATATCTTCACCTCCACATCACACGAACCTTAAAATTTGAAAGAACTCACTTTTTTGAGTATTGCCTATACAGATCTTGATGAGGCCTCTCCCAAAACAATTCTCTCTCTCTCTCTCTCTCTCTCTCTCTCTCTCTCTCTCTCTCTCTCTCTCTCTCTCTCTCCAGTTCCCTCGCCTTCTCTTCTTGGTGCACATGAGTTATGTGTCCATCCATCAGACCTTCTAGTGTGCACACTAGAATTGTCTAGTGTGCACAATGTCCATTCTCCTGCAAGAGCACCTCGCCAAGATCGAAAAAGACAAATGAACTAAACAGGCTACAGATCCAAAGAATACCAACTAATTAGAGCAAAAGACAACCACCATCCCTCACTAATTAAAGCTAAAGGCAACAACCATCCCTTCCTATCTCTTGCACTTTCTTGGAACCATTTCCCCTCACCTTCAGAGGCAAGACATCATCATCGTGATTTATAGATATGATCACCATCCCTCACTAATTAAAGCTAAAGGCAACAACCATCCCTTTTACTAGTTAAACCGAAAGGCAACAACCATCCCTTTTACTAATTAAACCGAAAGGCAACAACCAACCCTACCTCTCTCGTGCACTTCCCTGCAACCATTTACCGACTTCAGAGCCAGCACATCATCATCATGATGTATACATATGACCACCGTATCATCATCCAGTCATCATCCAATCATACATTTTCAACGTGCACAGGAATCGTCATCATATCATCATCATCCGGTGAGAGCGATCACACGGTGATGATGATCGTACATGCACACCCTATGATCACTGTACGTCACGTATTATCATCGTACGATCCAATCAAAATATGGCATTACAGGGTGAGATCAGTGTCCCTTTTGTGAGGCTATCTCAGCTACTTCCAAGCGATATCGAAGTCGAATCTGCCGACGCTCAAAGTCAGAGCACGCCTTCCCGCCATATCTGATTCGGCACTTGATCTTCAGACCCCCCCTACCCGTCTTCCCCCGAAAATAACGCACCCTGATAAGGAGTCTATATATATAAGCCCCATTTCCGGCCGTGTACAGCCAAAATGAGGGTTCGTTGTGTTCGGGGGAAGACAGTAGTGCTCGCCATCTTGCATCTGCGGATGGTTTTCGCGATCAGAGGACCCCTGCCGACGCCTTTTTTTTGGACTCAAAGGACCCCATTATCTGGTTCGATGCTTGATCGAAGGCCACTCCTGGCCATCATTTGCGCATAGAACTCTGCATGCTCCTTCACGCAAACGAGGACCACTGCAAATCCGACCTGTCTAGATTCCTGAAAAAACCGCCGAGCCTCGTCGGGAGAGACCGACGGTACAACCGATGGCAAAACTTTCGCCACTTGGGACTCTGTATGTCTCTCGTGATCTAACAACAAGACCCTGTAGCGATCCCCGCCCCCATGACGGCGTCTCTGGGGGGACTTACCCAAATCCCCCCCCTCTTCTGTGTCCGGGGAGCTTCCCCCCTGGTCCAAATTCAAATCAGGCCTCTCGAGAAGTCCGGTGCCGCCGCCACCTCCAAATCCTGGCCTGGAGATGACCGCAGAAGCCGCCACGTGCCGCCCTCCAGAACTACTGACTGAACTCTGCCAGGACGAGCCAATCGGGGAAGAGATAGAGGAGGAAGACGAGGAGGAGGAGGAGGAGGAGGAGGAGGAGGAGGAAAAGCAGAAAGAGCAGCAAGCGGAAGGAGAAGCGGAGCAGGATTGCGCCGCCGCCGCCGCCGCCGCTGCCACCGTCACTGCATCTTCGGCCGCCGAGGTCCACGATGCTGACTGGGCGGCGCAGGATGCCCTTCGCCTCACCTTCTCAGAAGACGATGACAGGTCAGCACGGCTGATGCGGAGGCTGACGTGGCTGTTGTGATCACCGCTATTCAATCTAGTAGTGTTACTGCCGAGGTGGATGATTGCCACATTCTTCCGCTTCCAATCTCTGCCGCTTTCGCCCACCTGCGCCGCCGCCGCCGCCGCCGCCGCCAAACCACCACCCGATGCCGCGGCTGCTGTCTGTAAAGAAGATGCAGTCCACGTGGCGGCCATCGCCGCCGCACAGCCTGATTACCTCCTTTCCCACCTTCTTCCCCGCCGCCGCCGCCGCCGCCAATTGACCAGCGGAGAGCTTATCGTAGATCGGCGCTGTCTCGCTCCCTACCGTTCCTGATCGCTTCTCTCCCTCTCCTCTCCCAACACCTCCCACTTCTCTATTCTTTCAAGATGTATCTCTGATACTCTCAGCTCAACGGACGGCAGAGCATCATCTGCTGACGTGTCACCATATCTTGTCTTCCTGTGGGCCCCTCTCCTTCCTCAGATGCATGAAAGTGCTGCTACACCATAGCCAGTCTCCCCATTGGAAGCAGCGCACACGATGAGAGAGGAGAGAATTAAATCGCCCGGCTGGTGACAGCTAACCTGTGAGTATCACGTATCAGAAATATCATTCTCTAACTACACATTTATTCACCCTCTGGGGCTCGCTCCACTACACAACACTCTTCATGCATTTGAACGCTTTCTCGATCAGGTGCATTGGTACGAGTACAACATTTTGAATGTATCAGATTCAGTGTTGTTGTTTGGAGCGACGCCCTTTGTTGAAGGAAAATCCGACAAGTCTGTCCTTCACTGACCATACATGTGCCATGGTCGTCATGGGGGGGATGCTTTCCACTTACCAAACCMCCCCCCCCAAAAAAAAAAAAAAAAAAAAGGACATATCTTACTTCAAGTTGGGCTACTTACTGGGACGTATCTTATCCCAAAATCACACACATTCGGTCGGAAAAACCCCTGTAGCTAAAAACTGCAGAAGCGTCTCGTAAGCTAGGGAAAACCCCCCGAAGCGTCTCGAAAGCCCCACCACTTCGAAGCGTCCCCAAATTAAAAAAGGAAAAAGGGAAAAAGAACGTGCCCAGAGCCACACCAGTCTCTCTAAACGCTTGCAAGAGAAGGGTTCTCTCGAATTCCTGACACAAAAAGAAATTCAAAGAACATCTGGGGTTGTCAGAAGACTCTGGAGCATCTCTAGAATGAACTACAACAGAGCCCCCCAGAAAAAAGGAGGAACAATACCTTTCTCGGCCTTTTGGCTATAACATCTGAGCCGTGGTCCATCGGGCCAAAAAAAAAAAAGGAGGAACAAGCAACAGCCCAGAGTTTGGGCGTTGGTCTCATCCCACAGTAGTTAGGGTAAGTAAATAGTCTTGCTTTGCCGGATCCCGCATGATTCCGCAGACTAGGGCGGCGGCGGCAGCTTAGGGGGCAAGTAGAAACGTTTGAAGTAGTGGCAGTCGGGGAATGGACGCGGAAAAAGATTGAGGGAAACTGCAAGAGAACCGGGCCGGTACCCTGCAGTGAAAAAGAAGGTTGGTTTTCATTTTTTTTTGCCAATTTTTTTTGTGTCCGTGTGGTTGGCGTGTTTTTTTTGTGTCCGTTGAAGCGGACAAGTTTTGGTCCCTCACGACCACCCGCCCAACAAAACCCGCCGCTACGCACGTCAAACCTCCACTGATTGCGGTTCTGTGGCCCCGTTTTCTTTTACGGAGCCAACGGGAGCGGGCCCAGCTTTTTCGTTTCTTTAACAGATTCTCGATGCGTAAGAAGTGTGGGATTAGGGCCTCGCCACACCAATCTTGAAACTGCGTTTTCAAGAGTTGGACGCATCGCCACACAGCCACTTGAGAGTTGTAGCCCAAAAAATCTTTCGAGAGTTGTCAGAACCTCGTTTCAAGAGTAGCACTCGAAACTCCGAACGCCCAGCCTGCAGCACCGCTCTTTTCAAGCGTCCTCCTGAGCGCACTCGAAGGGCCTTTGATTTTCGAGAGGTGTCAGGCCGTTATCCTGACTCCATTCGGAAAAAACAAAGCTTTATGACTGTCATTTTTCATTGGTTGTCCAACACCCTCGCCCTTTCGAGAGTGCTGTGTGGCGAGGGGCCCGAAACTCTTGAGAACGTCTGACAGCTCTTGAAAAATTTCCCCGTTTCAAGAGTGGTGTCCTTGGGATGCGATTCCAAGGATTACGTCTTAGGGGCTTGCCACACCACTGTCGAAAGGCTGAAAAATCCGACGGCTGTCAAAATAAATTCGACAGCTGCCCTCTCTACAGTTTACCCCCCTTTAGCCACACAGCACTGTAGAATGGACACACTTGTGAATGCAAGATGGAAAAAGACGAACGTGCTTGAGGGTACGACAAGTATTCGTCCATCTCGACCTCATGCCCACTCAGGCGCGACAAGCATTCCATCTCGGCCTCAAGACCACTCACCAAATTTCGACGAGAAGTCGATCGCGCAGCCGAGGACTCTTGAAAGCATCGGAGTAGCAAGTTGGGGATTCAACAACTTTGGGAAGAAGGTGTCGAGAAGCATTCTCTGACAACTTGCGAATTTTCTTCCCGTCTCCAATTTCAACAGGCTCTGTGGCCAAGAGAAACTATCGAAAATCGTGTTTTCAACAGTGGTGTGCCGAGCCCCTTACACTGTCATCGGAGATGAAATTTGAAATCAAAATGTAAAAACTCTTTGAGGCTCTGACTCCTCTGAGGGTTTCCCGGCCAATCGTCCTAGACTCCAAGGGAGCTCATGTGATCACTTCGAGCTTGAGGATCCGTGATTCACGAGAGATGGTTAACGGGTGCATATATTTTCAGGTCTCCTTTCCAGGCAGTTCAGCCACTTTAGGTTACTACACCACTTTCAGATTGTGTGTGGATCTATACATTAGGGTGTCTGAAACTGCCTTTAGGCAGTTCAACCACTTCAGGTTGATACACCACTTTCGGATTGCCTACAGATCCATTGCAAATGGTGGGATGGGGTTACCTGAAACCCCTTTCAGAAGCTTCAGCCACTTCAGCGGTTTCAGATCCCCACCTGAAATTCCTGAAATGACCTGAAGTGGTTGAAGCTTCTGAAAGGGGTTTCAGGTACCCCTATCCAACCATTTGGATGGGGGTACCTAAAACCCTTTTCAGAAGCTTCAGCCACTTCAGCGGTTTTAGGTCCTCACCTGAAATTCCTGAAATGATCTGAAGTGGTTGAAGTTTCTAGAAGGAGTTTCAGGTACCCCCATTCAACCATTTGGATGGAGGTACCTGAAACCCCATTCAGAAGCTTCAGCCACTTCAGCGCTTTCAGGTCCCCACATGAAATTTTTGAAATGACCTGAAGTGGCTGAAAAAACAGGCATATAAAAAAAAAAAAACATAAAACTTGTCCTGCAAACCACCCGAAACTTCTGAAATGACCTGAAGTGTGTTCATACCATTTCAGCGGTTTCAGACCACTTCAGAATCTTTCATTCTGAAATTTCAGGTGGTCGTTAATCGCGAGTGTGATTCACGGAGAGGAAATGGCATACTCTTCGTGGTACATTACAACTGAGACCGGATGGTGGCGGCATGCTATTGGCTGAAAGTCAAAAGCACAACTTTTTTTTTCTTCCTTCCCCCCTTTTCCCGCCGTCCCCTCCCCCCCCTCCCTTCTAACATGATCGCTCTTAGGACTAGTCCTAAAGTCGATGCTCGGGGCTCTGGGTGGAACGCCTCCGCAAGGACGCCCTGAGGAGTGTCTAACGATGCACTTTGTCCCGACTCATGTGGCTGAATGGTACAAACAGGAAGTGGCGATAAACAGATTCAACGAAAGCAATGATGTTAGGCGCTAATCCCACACTACTCATGGTAAGTAAGGGTCTCGTTAGACACTCCTAAAAATGCTTGTTTTTATGATTGCGTCTTGGTTGCACGCAATCCTAAATCCAATTTTGAGATAAAAAATGTGAAAACGGCGTTAGGACGAGTCCTAAAGAATTTAGGATTCCCCAGGCAAAATCGTCCTAAATTTTCTAGTAGCCGTCGACCCATTGAAATTTTAGGATTCCCGCATTTCACGAACTCATTGCGTTACGTGCATGGCGCCATCAACACGAAGTTGCTGGTGCAGAAGCGGTCCGTCGGGTCAAGGGTCGGACATCGAAGGTGTTCTGCGGGTCGACCCGGACAATGGCCACGAACGGTAGCCGTTGGCGGGGATTGGACGGACATTGGCAGGAATGAATGAATATTGGTGACGCTGCTGCGTATACGCATATGAAAACCGGTCGCCGGAGACCTTTTAGAACGAATCGTAAAATATGATTTTTAGGATTGCGTGTAACGACGCCGCACGAAATCCTTAAAATCCTTTAGGACTCGTCCTAAAAATTTTAGGATTCTTTTAGGAGTGCCTAACGAAACCCTAAGACTGTAAAAGAAACGAAAAAGGAGGAGGTGCGTCCGACGGGCGGTAAAAGAAAAAAGAGACCCCACAGTCAGCAGGCGAATAACTTTTACGATTGTGACGGTATGTTTTGGGGGGCAGCCTGCAGTGGTGGACTGAAGAAAGAAAAACAAATTGACAAGAAAACCGCCACCTTTTTGAGAATAGGGTATGGGTTGGGTTCTTTTCGAAAAATCCTCAATCTTTTTCGCCAGCGATCACTCCGGAAACGGCGTCAAACGTTTCCACTTGCCTCCATCGCCGGCGGAATCCCCTATACGTGGGAAAACAGGTGGGATCCATGAAAACAATACTTTGTTTTTATTTATTTTTTGAAAACTATACTTTTTACTTACTGTAAGTAGTGTGGGATATCGCTACCCCTTTTAACCCTTTTAAACCCCCAGTGACTATGGAAGTCGCAACACGCATGCACCCAACCATCACTACAGTGTAGTGATTTTTCCACTTGATTGAACTTATGCAGGCGCCCCAGGCCTGTTCATCCCCAGTATGCCGCAGCGCACATTTTGAGGGAAAAAATGAAAAAACAAAAACATAGCCCACAACTGGGCACCGGTTGTCCAGTTGCCAACTATGAAATATGGCAAGTGTGTACACGTCATCTTTCACATTTGGGGGGGTGAACTCGAGCCAAGGTAGGTCGTTTACCCCTACCTATCTGCATTTGTTTTTTGCTTTGCCCCTCTTTTTTCCTTTTTTTTTAATAGAAACACCAATAGAACAGGCAACTTGAACTTCCATGAGGGTGGTAAGAGAACCCTCGAGGATGGGAGCCTGGGTTATCTGGTGGCTGCAATCATATTCGTGGGGAGCATGACGTGCTGGAAAATGGGTCCATCGTCCCATTCAAACAAGTTCATTTATGTCTTAGCTAAGCCTCTTCACCCTTTTTTTTTTTTTTTTAATGATATATGTGCATTGCATTGGCGGGCGCCCTATAGAATCTCATCAATGTAGCCTAGCAAGAGAGAATTACTCAAAGTTCAAGCACAACGTGTTCTACTTGTGTTCGGTGCTCAGAAATTTTAGAGAGTCGTGTTTAAGTCCATAAATGTTCAGTAGAAGAGGTATAAAACTTGAACCGTGCCAGTACAAGTGGACCTTCCCAATGCCCCAACGTCAGGCAAGGGCGCATTACGCATGGGGGTCTTGCAAGAGAGAATTACTCAAAGTTCAAGCACAGCGTGTTCTACTTATGTTCGGTGCTCAAAAATTTCAGAGAGTCGTGTTTAAGTCCATAAATGTTCAGTAGAAGAGGTATAAAACTTGAACCGTGTCAGTACAAGTGGATCTTCCCAATGCCCCAAAGTGAGGCAAGGGCACATTACGCATGGGGGTCTTGGTCCTAGGGGCCATAGGGCCAGTTTAATCACTCCCTTCTTCTTTCTCATGGCTAGCTTACTGTCTCTACCCCTGGTGGAAAAGAACCATATGAGAGTCAACTTACCTGTCCTTGTGTGTCTTCTCCAATCTACTCATAGCATGACTTTGGTGTTTCCCAAGACCGTTTGCAATGTAAAATTGTTTGAGTAAAACTTTTGCCTGAATAATGTGTCATTTCTAAGCTTCCAAATCATGTTCATGATAGCAGCCCTCGCAGAGGCCGCTACATACCCCCAGCCTTTGTCGATTGACATTTTTGGTGGGAGGATGATGTCTAGCATAAATCGCTTATCCCATTTTATGTTGTTTGGGCCAAATATTTCCCACTTGTTACTCCACCATATCTTTGCCCGTATGTTTGTTCATCTATCAAACCAAAATACCGCCAGCTTCTACGAGTGTCGTGTTATTGGCTTCGGGTGACTGCAACCATAGTGAGTGCACAATAACAGAGATCGATAAAAATAAGTTTCTCGCCAAGAACTGGAGTCGCACACTCCACAAAATTTCAGCTTTGTACAGTTCTCCAGGGCACGAATGAGCAAATGGCATAAATAATAAATATATATCTAGCTAAAAGGTGGAAAAATATGCTCACCAATTTTGTGAGTGCGCTGGTACTCTGGATCTACCCAACCCCAACATCAAATAACATCTACAAGATTTACTTATATATTAGGTTATGATAAATTAAAAACAAGTAGCCCAGTCATGAATAATGTGCATAGCTTTAGGAACCTGACCTCTCTTGTTAGTTTGCAATCAGTAGAGCCCAACCAAATGCATTGACATCCAAATTAAGTAATATACGCCTAGACTTTGCCCGATATATCTAATCGTGGTTATGACTAGAATTAGTTAAGGTTGTGATTGTCTTTGATTGACTTCTTAAAAAACATCTTGTTTTACGCGTGCGGCGATTATTTTCAATAAAATGCTTAGCCAATGTATTGAAGTTTATTAGTAAAGGAATTTTGTTTTTCAATAATAAAATATGAAGAAAAAAAAAATCAACATTTGCTGAATTTTACTCATAATTGGTTTTTCCCTAATTCATATTAACATTGACTCCCCTCTCCATTGAGAAGAGTTCCTAAGCAAAGGAAGTGTTTTTCAACAAATGTGACCTACCTTTTAGTAGGCTAACAAGCACAATATTGTGTGTGGTCCACAATCAGATAAAATATTGTTCATATCTCGTCACTATACTAAGGATGAATTTCTTAAACCAGTAAATTATCAAACACGAAAGAAGAAAAAAAAAAGATAAATAGAAAACATACATAATAAACAGTTGATGGATACATAGATAATAATCATAATAAATAATATATAGATAGACATATAAGACAATTTTGATTGATTGATTGATGAATGAGGCCATGAATTATTTGATAGATAGATAGATAGATAGATAGATAGATAGATAGATAGATAAATAGATAGATAGACAGATAGATAAATAGATAGATAGATAGATAGATAAATAGATAGATAAATAGATAGATGCAGAGATAGAGAGATGGAGTGACAGAGAGATGGAGCGACAGACAGAATGGAGAGTATGTGTGTGTGCACGTGTGTGAGAGAGGGGGGGAGAAAGGGATTAGACAACTAAGACGTATAAGATATGCAGATAGATAGATAGTTGTGTAGAAGAGTAGCCTCATAAATGAATAATGGAATAAATGAATCCAACCTGCACAACCGACTCGTGAATTACCAAGGTTGATTGAATGATTTTTTCATTCATTCATCGTTGGACGAACAATGGAATGGATGAACGTAATATGCTCAATTCCTCATAAATTACCTGATTGATTAGATGACTAAATGATTTATTGATTGAATGATCCATTCATTCATATTTATGGTGCATTAGCCGTACTTGATGATTCCTTTATATTTGATTAATTCATTAGCAATTAATTAATTCATATATCATCACAAATAGAATTGCGCGGTAAACCGTAGGCAGAGAGAGAGAAGAGGACAACAAACGAGGGGCTGTGATAAACTGTTTCGTTGGAGTTTCACCGACTCGTCAGGATTTGATGATTCATTTATTTAATTAAATGATTCATTCACCAATTAAAGAAAATTGCCACTCTTCTGCAAAAGAAAAACATAATAAAGATAGCCGAATCCACAGTGACAGAGGATGAAAAGTTGTTGAAACAACTACAAAAACTTATTCAAGAAATGCCTCAATTTTCTCACATGTTCACCTCATCACCTAAATCTCAGCTTACACAATACCAAGCTCCAATGCTCTCGAGAATCTAAACTCCTTCGAAGTTCGTATTAAATTGCACACAAAAAGTCCGTCTCGATGAGCATTACAACATAATCGACTCCATCACCTTAAGTGAACCGCCAATTTATTTGGAATCCATATGCACGGCCATATCAAGTGTACACATTTGTGAATAAACTGGGATAAAAGAGGACGAAGTACAATTGTGTAGGTAGGGACGAGATTATCACAGGCAGTAAGGTCTATAGAAAGTGTATATATAAACTGCATGGTGAAAGACTTAGTCCAACATCACATATCAATCTAATATTCATTAATCGACTGATAATAAGTAAGAGATTAAAAAAAAAAAAACGCATAAAAAAAGGTGCAAGAAGAAAAGGAGGAAAATAAAGAAAGCATAAAAGAATGTGTTAGGGCGTACTCACACAAGGATTTTTCTAAATATATCTGACAACAATTACAGACGAATGCGGATAAATCTGACTCCATGTTCAAAACTTAACACAAAAGCCCCCGTATGAGTATGCCTCTAGTGTGACAAGTTGGAAAGCAAGAAGTCTGGAAAGGAGAAGCGATGTCAATAAAAGAATCGGAAGAAAGCTCGCAGTGCCTTAATTCCTAGATCACACACATGGCCTGTCCAACCAAACTAGCTTTCCTTTGAAAGTTTTGATGGCACAAGCTTGAGAGACCAAAGACACAATCTGGGCCGAAAAATCTAAACTATCAAGCTGTATTTTGTCAGTGTACAACCTTCTCAAAGGCAACAAACTTGAGCACAAGAACCCCAAACACCTTTTGGCTGGAAAAGGGAGTGTAGGAATTTTCACCGCACAAAAGTCCTAGGCCATCACAATCCAGTGGCTTGGGTACGTCTGGACTTGGCATCAATGGTTAGGTCGCTTGGAGGCTGGCAATTCGCTTAACTACTGGCACTGTAAGGTCCTGCCCGATCCCTGTTATGTTCACCAGGGCATATAGGGTCTTTCATGCTCTGAAACCACCATCCCAACACGCGATCGAGAAGCCCTGCTGGGTCTTTCAGGCCCTGAAAACCACCACTCCCGCCACACGATCAAGCAGGACAAACCTGTTATCTGGGAGGTCGTCGGGAAGCGTCCAAAAGAACTGCCAGATGGGGGTGCCTAGTTGAAATTAGCCACACCCACCATGCCCACCACTGTCAATTGAATCCCAAGGTTATTCTCTTCTTCTTTTCTTGGGGGCGAGCTGGGGAGGGGGGGGGAGGGGATGGAGGGAGGCACTGCGCCTCCCACAGGGTTGGAGACTATTGCCCCCCAGCCTACCACTGAGCCTGCAGGTTTGGGTGTAGGTCTCATAAAGGGGGTTGGCAACACAAACCACAAAAAAACTGTTATGCAATGTAATGTTCGCTCGGTTTAGTACTTGGGCATACTCACGCTAAGACTTTTTCTCTTATTTGTGGACATACTTGCAGTCAGATGCATTCAGGCCTGACCGTAACTGCAGTCAGATACACAATAAAGATAGTCTCAGTACACCCTTAACAATAACTGCATTTCCACTGCCGCCTTCGTTGACCCCACATGTATCTATGGGCCCATTTTGTCTGCAGAATGTAGATTCATTTCTTGCCACAAATAGCGAGGGCCCAATTCCTGTCAATAAAATCGCAAATTCTGTGTTGTAGGAAAGGTTCTTTGTCTTCTGTTTTTTTTGCGCGAATTTTGTTTTCATTGCCCTCCTCGCGGAGAAAATACTTTGAGTAAGTTGAATGGTCATTGGAAGTGGTCAAATGAGCATTACTGTAGCATCACAACATATTTTTGTGAACTTTTTGAGCTTTGCAAATGTTCTCTCACGTTAAAATTGTCATTGTAGGATTTTGTACTCCTGTTCCTTTTGTTTCCCGGCATACTTGGGTTTTTGTCTTTTTCATGTTTGGGATATGTTCTTTTACTGTTCATATAAATGTGAAGGGATGACATTGGTATACCGGTTATTCTGCGATTATCAATACGGTCCTGCTGCCACCCCTGCTGCTCCAAAAGAAATTGGCATGACTCGGGCGTCAACACATCTTCGTACAGAAAAAAAAAAAAAAAAAAAAAAAAAAAAAAAAAACCATCTTCGTAACAGAAGAATGGATAAGGCGTCAATACATCTTCGGGAACAGAGGACGTGATTAAACCACTAGCACCTATCCCCGCTTGAAAAACAAATATGCGGCTCGTTTACGGCCACATCTTTCGGGAAGTACTGGGGCGCCATTTTGCTGCATATCGATCCAGGCAACATGGGCCTCACACGACCCGTTTTGCCTGGATGGATCGATATCCAACGAAACAGCATCGCAATACTTCCCGTCGTTCCCGAGAGTTGCGGCTTAGTACGTGCTGCGACTCTGAAACCATAGCTGGGAATGATAATGGTGGTTCAAGCCACCAGCGCCTTTCCCCGCTTGAAAAATGAAGTCGCAGCTTGTTAAGGGGCACATTTTTCAAGGGTTTGGGTACCGGACCAAAATGGCTGATGGCGCCAGCCAAAAGCAGGTCAGTGCCGCTTCGTTTTCTTTTGGTGCGCAGGGCAAATTTAGGCTTGGCATCAATAGCTGGGGGGAGTACTGGTGGTTTAATGGCACTCATTAGGCATGCTCAGAGGGGTGCAAGGGAAGACATGTTCCATAGACGGTTATGCCGTTGGGATTCATACTCTGTGCTCAATCAAACAGGCAGGCATTGACAAATCTGCAGAAATAATAGATTAGCAGATCAACTGGCCTTGTTTAGCACACTCTGGGGGATGGGAGGAAACGGGTGAAGGATGACTGTGTCGGTCGGGGCGTCCAGTCGACGCTGGGCTGCAACCAAATACGCAGGCAAGATGTCACGGCAGTGCGTACAAGTTGGTACAGCATCAATCGCTTCCTGCCTAAGCAGACAAAGTTCTTCGATGCTCTTGCAATCAGTATGGAAGTCAAAACAGAAGAACCTTCAGTCAAACAACCAGCTAAGCTCTTTCATAAGGTCAGTTATTCTGGAAACAGCCAGTCATCATGTCGGCGACTCCTGATAGGGTACTGTCGAAAACGGAAAACAAACAAAAAAAAAAGAAGCAAACCCTTGACTAGACCCCAACAACCTTCTTCTTTTGGGAATCGAACACAGAGTCCTTCCCCTGGCTAACAGAAGCTGGCATGAGAATTGACATGATGTATTTAGTCAAGATATGCCCATGCTCATGTGCTCTGTTTAGGGAAAGAAAGTGGTGGTGGGCACCCGTATCTCTCACAGTTTTACGCAGACCAAGCAAGATGAATAGGGTTTATGCCACTGGGTTAAATCCTCATGAAAGAGATCGGAACCGCGTAATAAAGTTGTGGAAAGCTTGCACACACGCATAAACGGCAATTTCGCTTAACGTAAAACGAGAAGTAAGAGGAAGAGGAGGTAGGGAGGGAGGGAGGGAGGGAGGGAGAGAGGTGGAAGGAAGGACAAAGCATGACTTGATAGATTCACATAAACGAGGGTATCCTACAACAACCCAAAGCGCTCAGCAGCACTCCTATTACCATTCTCTGTTCAAACCTTTCATCCTCTGATTGATAGACAGGGGGGGGTCTAGGAGGGTGTGTTGCAGACAGAATCCCTACTCTTCGGACCTTGGGAGGAAACTTGACTATGACCGGAAGGAGGAGAAGGGGGAGGATGAGGAGGAGGATGACAAGATTGAGGAGGTGAATTTTGCAAATCAATAATCGGGCGGCACTCCCCTTGGAGTTCCCGCATTGTTTTCTGCTGAAGTTGTTCCCGCATTGTTCCCGGATTGTTCCCGGATTGTTCCCCCCGGATTGCTCCCGGGTTGCTCTCCACTATTCCCTGATGTTCCCGGATTGTTCCCAGATTGTCCTCGGCTGTGCTTTGGCTTTCCCGGATCGTGCCCAGATGGGTCCCAGTTGTGCCCAGATTGTTATCTGCTATCGACCCTTGAAGTTGCCGAACGGTCCCTGGATTTCCGTCTGCTCTACCTTGTTCACGGAGGACTCTACGTTGTCCCTCCGAACTGCCCTGTAAAAGTCCTGCGTTCATCTGCGACTGGTCAACGCTTCTGCCGGTGTGTGGGTCGTTCCCACTTCCTTCGTCCCCCCTGCCACTTAGCCCCTTCAACCCCCCGGCCTTTACCCTATCGGCCCCTTTCATGGTTGGGCCTTCGACTTCGTTGAGTGATTGACCCTCCATCCCCTTGTTTTGTGGGCCTTCCAAAGGCCCAGCCATTGACGAGCCCGCCATTTGCCCAGGTGACATCATCAGGATGGGGAACATCTTTCCAGGGACGAAGGTTGGCCGCCTAGAAATGCTCGCCTGGAGAGTTGGAACAGCTGCTTGTAGCATTTGCGTTTTCCGCGCCAGGAGCTCCTGGAGCGTCAACCCAGTGGGTTGAGTTTGACTTTCATTTTGCTGTTGAGCTGAGAGGATTGTACAGGTCGGCACCCTCCCTGTCGAATGTGACACTGTGGACATCGACAATGGTCTGTCTATAGGGTTCACCTCCTTTTCGGCAGCCCTGTTGCCGCCGCTCTGCACAGCCGCCCCTTGCATAGCCGACGCGATGGATACGGGTACACCCTGAGCGTCGACATCCATTGGTGCTGCCATTTCCCTGAGCAACCTTCTGAGTACAGGAGTATGGCCCTGGTCTGGCATTGATGATGGTTTCCGGATCGGCCAGCCCCGACCTGCAAGCCCCACCAGAGGCATCGCCATCCGCGGCCCAGTTCCGTGGTGTCCACTCGATGACTCCCCAGAAACGGTGCTCATGGTGGCAGAATCGGATGATGATGACAGAACAGCTGCTCCTGCTCGCTCCTGAGACCTGGTCATGGCGATTGACTCTGATGCATCTGGCCTCATTAAGTGCCATGACGTCCTCCTTTCTGAAACCCGTCCTTCAACCCCGTGTCCAACCGATTCCGCTGAGAAGGGGATAATAGCAGGCGATGACGAGGATACGGTAAGCGATGCTCCTCCTCGGTCCTGGAGAACATTCAGACGTGATGAGGGATCCGATTTCATGAGGTGCCATGACGTCCTCCTCTCTCCCACAGACCCTTTGTCCATCATCCCGCCGTCACCTCCTCCTCCCGAAGCGCTCCCGTCAACAGCTCGGAGGTTTTCAGCAGCCGAATTCAGTCTACCAATTGCCATTGCATTATGTGCTGGCGATTGGGCTCTTAAAGAAGCCTGGGAACCTAGACATGGATTTGCATCTGTGGCTTTCCTGCGCCGAAGATTATGCCCAATCAGCCTCATCTTGCAGCTCCTTTTGCCCTCATCAAAAGCACTCAAAGGATGAAACCTGCTGCATTGTTGACAAAAGCGCTGCAATTCTCCCTTGCAAAACACTTCGGGTGTCTTTGAATGCTCCTGACATATCTTGTGCCTTCGATGGTACTCTTTCGAGTTGCTGAGGTCCGCCCTGCAGCCCTCTACCTGACACATGGCAACCGTCCCGCCTCCCATTGATCCTGACCTGGACCGTTTTCCTACCCTAAGGTTTGCCCCACCAGCCACCGTGTCCTCTCCAGACCTTCCTGCCAGCGCCCTTCTGCGCTGCTTTCCCCCACTTTCAGTGTTCATAATCGCCACCATTGACCGGTCGGTTGCCAATTCGTCAGCCCCTGATATGCTCGGCGGTGTATCGACCAAAAATGACTCCCGCGTCCCCCCGGCGGCACCACTCCCTCCCATCACAATCACCATCTCCTTCCCCACAGCTTCGCCAACCTCCGCCGAACTTATTTCTGACGATCTGTTGAGAAACGAAGGGCCCGCCGTACAGCTCGAGTGCATCACCTCTTGCTGCTGCTGCTGCTTCTGCTGCCGCTGTTGCTGCAACTGCTCCTTCAGTACCTCTTCGTCCCCTCTTCCCCCTACAGCAACAACCCCCATATCAGAACCCACAACCTCACTACCCAAGATTCCCTGCCCTCCCCCTCTACCCTGCCCCGTGTCATTGATGCTGTACTGCCTACTCAGAGAGACATCATTCGCACCCAACGCTTGACCTAACCCAGCATTATTTCTCCCTCCCTCAGCTGGCCCCAGTGAGGTTCCACCCAACCTCATCGCACTCCCGCCAGGTGATAGACTTTGCCTTCTTCCCAGGTCACCATCATCAATGGAAGAATTTCTGGGCCTCCCTTCACATAAGCTCTGCTCCTCTATTGCTGGCTTCCGTTGACCACAGGGCATTCCATAAGGCGAAGGGTTAACATTCAGTTGGACAAGCAGACGCACGCTGTCCCAGTCCCACGTGCGATCGTCGTTCCACAAGAGCTGATGATGAAGATGGGAATTGTACTTGGCACTGTTGGCGGCCCGGTTAGTCATGGAGGTTGTGCCTGTAGTGCCGGCAGTTGTCGAAGGCAGTTGATTGGAACTACCTCCTCCATCTGCATGGTCCCAGGAGCTACTGTCCCAGGTAGAACTGGCAGGAAGAGCATGGGCAGGCGAGGCTGAAGTAGCTGCTGTGGAATGCTCATGCCGTGTACAATCACCCACAATTCCCGAAGTACCGTCCCCAACACCTGCTGTATTCCCACGCCCAATCGAAGAATGAGGCACATGTTGTCGACATGGTGGAGAGCAGCTTCCGCCACCAGCGTTCTTCTCCCCATGCTGACTTTCCTCCCCCTCCTTTCCCATGCTCCCCCGTGCCGAACCCCCTCCTTTTCCGCTCCCTCGAGAAAGCCCTTTTGGAGAAGTCGTTAGCGGCGGGCCTCGCTTCGTCAACTCACCAAAGAAACGGCCTGATGTTGTTTCTTCCATGAACAACCACCACCTTTCTCAACCC